AAGTAAAAAATCCACAATAAAAGCATTAGATATTGCAATCCTGCCATCATTTACATAGCTAAAATTGAAACATGACTAAAAAAAGGATCTGAAACAGGAATTGTGAATGGGACATGAATCATGCTCCGGCTCCAGATTTGGAGCAATAGAGCTTGCTAAACACATAAAGAGCGGTGACAAAGCCGATGAAGTAGAGACTCATGACAAGGACAACGGTGGGCGAGATCTTCAAGTCGGAGTCATCATCAACTGTTGTCCAAGCCTACAGTGAGCCAGATCCCGATGCATGTTACTGTCAAAGTCGGAGTTGACAAAGCCAAATTCGGATGCGACCGAGCCTACAATGAGCTTGCGATGACGCATACTAGCCGTTGTTGCTGCTGAGCCGTGTAGGGGCCATGACGCCAGGCCTTGAGGTGGATGAGGAAGAGGCTTGGGATTGTGAAGAACCTCTTGCCATTGTTTGCTGCAAACAGAGAACTCAAAAAAGGAAGGGAGAATAGAGAGAAAAAGAATAAGAAGAAGAAAGAAGAAGGATGAGCAAGGAGGAGGAAAGGAGGAAGAAGATGATGTTTGAGAGAGAAACCCAAATCCTAGATCTAGGTTTGTAGAGGTAAGGGAAAAGGATATGTAAAGGAGAGAGAAAGTGAAAGAGGAAGAAGAGATGACTTGAATGAAAAAAAAAATCATTAATTTTAAATTAAATAAAAATGCCAACTCATAGGCCAACTATGCTTTTTTTTTTTTTCACATCATTAGTTAAAAAAAAAATTGATTTGTTAGCAAGTTAACGTGACACCTGTCATTTAATTGACGGAATGACTGTTTTGGTACAAAAAATGAAAGTTTAAGGATAATTTTGATACTTTTTAAAGTTGAAGGACAATTTTGGTGCCAAAGTAAAAAGTTGAGGGACCAAAATGGTACTTAAACCGTCATTTAACTAATGGAAGAACTATTTTGTACCGAAAATGAAAGTTTAAGGATAATTTTAGTACCTTTTAAAGTTGAAGGACAATTTTGGTGACAAAATGAAAAGTTGAGGGACCAAAATGATATTTAAACCAAAAAAAATTGTTATGGGTAGAATGTCATTATAATTATAAATTTATTTATATTATTAAAATATT